AGACCAGGAGGACCACACCTGGCCCAGACCAGGAGGACCACACCTGGCCCAGACCAGGAGGACCACACCTGGCCCAGAGCAGGAGCTGCAGAGCACAGACCCTCACAGTGCATGACCATCTGTGTCTTCTAAGCTGTCTTGAGCCCTGTCTGGTTCCTCATGGTCACTGGTTTTCCTTCAAAGATGCTGAATGAGCCTAGGTCAGTGCCACTCAAAGTGTGCTTCTCGAACCAGCCTGTAACAAAACAAATAACAAACTTGTGAGTAGACATCTGATGCTTACTTTGTCACTTGCCATTGCTAGATCATTGAGGTTTGAACATGAAGGGCCCTCAGTGGGCTCCTGTCAATACTTAGTCAACAACTGGTATTACTGTTTTGAAAGTTGTGGCCCCTTTAAAAGGTGGAACCTCAATAGAGGTCATTGGGGTCTGGCCTTGAGATTTCACAAGCCTGGCCGCACTTCCTGCCCTCTCTCTGCTTCCTGATGACAAATGCAATGTGTCCAGCTATATCACACCCCTGATGCCATGCTTTATCTAACACAATCAACTGAATTCCTCCCCCACACACACACCCTAATTTCAGCCAAAGTAAACCCTTACTCCCTTAAGTTGCTTCCTGTCAGGTCACAGCAAAAAGGAAAGTAAGCAATGCAAAAATCTGAGAGCAGAATTAATGAGCAGGATTAATTAATAAGGAAACTGTTTAGGGAGCAAACTCCTCTGCTGAGCAGCATGTGGCAGAAACTCTGGTTTTGAACAGTCAAATAATTTATTGGCCTGCAAGAAATCAGAAGCACAAAAATATTTTTAAAGAGTATGAGTCTGGAGAGATAACTCAATAAATTGCTTGTCCTACACACATGATCATCTGTGTGCAATCTCCAGCAGCCACACAAAACGCCTGCTGTGGTCTTACATTATTAAAGTCCCAGAACTGGAGAGGTGAAAACATAGAGGTCTTTACACCATCAATGAACCTGAAGTCCCAGTGAGAGACCATATCTGCAAATCAAGGTGGGTGGCTATTGAGGAACAACCCCAAAGGTTGTCCTCTGGCCACCACACTCAGCAGCGCATGCATGCATGCATGCACGCACGCACGCACGCACGCACGCACGCACGCACCAACCCACACCTGCATACACAAGTATGCATCTTGACATACAAACAAAACTAGTTATTCATGCAAGATGATCTTAGAAGTTTTGGCCTGGGCTATTGAGAGTAGCCTGGGAAAGTTTAGTGAATGAAAGTTGGCAAGACTTCCTGACCTCTATAGTGTCCTCATTTCTGCATCATAACAACATGCATGAGGGTGGGTCACAGATTGGATAACATCCCAACGTAAAACTGCTTCCTTGGAGCCTGCAAAGCATTTTTGTCTATCCAGCAGAGCAGAAATGACTTGCCCTGTGCACGGCACTGATGTCCAAAAGAAAAGCCACAGAGGGACATCTAGTGGCAGTGGGAAGTTACCAATCTGCTCCAAAAGAGTTCAGGCATTCTGCACTGCTCACTGCCTGGGTGCTTTAGATTCATTTCTTGAGCTTTACGGCACGGCCCAGCACATTAGTCCCTGCATTTGAAGGCTAGCAAGCACCGGAGGAAAACAGAGCCATCTCCCCGGCCAAAGATGCCTTACCACCCAAGCCACTGTAGAGCCAAGCAAGGCAGAGTAAGGGCAGAAAGCAGAACTTGCAGAAGTGTGTGCTGAGCAAAGCATCCATGGAGAGCACCTTCACTGTACGCACAGCTATTTTTATACTCTTTCTAGTAAGATCCATGCAGACACGGCACTTGTCGGCTACAAACCTCTGGACTGCACGCACGTTTTAAAGGCAACCCTCCATGCATCCTGACCCGTCAATCAGCCTCCTCAGAGCTCTTCATAAGAACGACGGTGAATCGTGCAGCAGTAATCAAGGGCAAATGGAAGTAGTCACCCTGCACGTGGGCAGGCTTCTCCTGGAATTTGCTGGTGAGATGGAAGCTGCCTTAGACCCAGCTGCAGCTGCCTGAACTTGACTCTTCCACAGGAAGACAGATGCAAAATAAGTTAATAAAATACATTATTAGCTATAAAAAAATCATAATAGATTTTGTTTAGGAATACTAGTGAGCCAGGTGGTGGTGGCACATGCCTTTAATCCTAGCACTCAGGAGGATCTGTGAGTTCAGGGACAGCCTAGTCTACAGAGTGAGTGAGAAACCTTGTCTCAGAAAAAAAAATAGTGAAAGTCTCAACTGATGATTTTGCCATCTCTATGAATCACAAGGTCAAACGTTATATATTACAATTCATGTACCTAAAGGGTGTATTTTAAAATATTTATTATATTTTATTTTAGCGTGTGTGTGTGTGTGTGTGTGTGTGTGTGTGTGTGTGTGTGTGTGTGTCCCCGTCCATCACAGGATCTGTGTGACGGTCAGAGGAGAGGACAACTTGTATGAGTCAGTTTTCCCCTTTCTACCATGTGGGTCCCAGAGAGAGAGTTCATGTCACCAGGCTTACTGCAAGGACTTTTACCTGCTGAGCCATTTTGCCAGGCCCTCATGAAGGGAGCTTAAGACATTTGTAACTATAATCTCAAATCTCCCCTCCAGCATTTCCACCCTCGCTCCATTTTAAGAACATAAGAGAATTCTTCACTTTACCCATTCATGCTGACTCAATCTCTCCTTATCATTGCCATTCACTGTTTTTTGGGTTTGTTGTTTGTTTGTTTGTTTGTTTGTTTGTTTTGTTTTGTTTTGGTCTTACTGCACTGCACAGTACCCATTAATTTTTTTTTCCTTTGAAGTTCTTCTCCTCCTCAAAATGAACTGGAATACAAGAAGAAACTGTTTCTGGAGAGTCCTGCCTCAAGCCCTCATGTTCAATGCATCCTCTGCCTTCTGCCTCTCTGGTGAACAATGCCTCATTTCTAGCTCAATGGACACAGCTGCTATTGAACCTAAAGTCATTCCAGCAAGCCCAGGGCTGGAGAAACCCATGGTCTCTTCTCTGTTTAGTTCTGGCCTGTCTCCCTCTCCTCCCAATCCATTCCTTCTCTTATCTCTACCTGTATTGTCCACCTTCTCCTAAAAACATTGCAGGTGCAGTCAGGAAGCAAAGAAATATGGGTACTGATGCTCAGTTCATTTCCCCTAGTTTTACTGGGTTGAGGACCTACCCTAAGGGATGATGCCACCCACATTCCCAGTGGGTCTTCCTCCTTAGTTGAGCCTTTCTGGAAACTCCCTCCTAGACATACCCACAGGTATTTTTCCATGGTGTTGAAGTCTATCAAGCTGGCAATCGAAATTAACTCAGAGGGCCTTTGTAAGGTGGGGCCCTCCAGAGTGGGCTGTGGGAACTGAGACAGATTCGTTCCCTAGTTCCATCAGAACAGAGGACCACCAACTTGGTGACTTAAAGCAGAAATGTGTTCCCTTTGAGATCTGGCAGCCAGAAACCTGAAATCTCATTGTCGACAGGGTTAGTTCTGCCTGAGTTTTGAGGAAGAATCCGCTGATGCTTTGTTCTTGTCTTCTGACCATCAAAAACTCTTGCTATTTCCTTGACTTAAGGCTGCCTGACTCCAGCTTGCCTCCTCCTCTACTTGTCCAGCCTTCTGTGCCTCTCTGTTGGTCTCTTCGCTTCCTAAGATATACCCCTGCGTTACAGCCTGGTCCAGTTTCATCTGCAAATCTCTAATCACATCTTCTAAAATTCTAGTTCTCTATAATGTCACATATATAGATCCCAGGAGTCAGAGTTGGATGGATGGCACTTTTTACACAATCACATGCAGGCACAGTCTCTGTGAGAACTCTCCACCTGCTTACAAAAGCCAAGGTCCTTGATGGACCCTGGGAGCATCTTAGATCCTTCTCTTTGTGCACAGAGGCCAGAGGTCAATACTGGGTGTCTTTTTCCATCACTCTCCCATTTGTGAGACAATGTCTCTCTCTGCATCTGGAGCTGGCAGATTTGGCTAGACCAACTGGCAAGGAAACCCCAGATATCCCCTTGTCTCTGCATCCCCAATGCTGGGATTATAGATGAGCTACTGTACCCAGCTTTTTTATGTCAGTTCTGGGGGCTCATAGTCAGGTTCTTTCATTTCAATGGCAAGTACTTTACGAACTGAGCCCCCCTGTGTTTTGTAAATGAATAATTTACTTATGTTCCACTTGCATACACTCTGATTTGAAAACTTTTGATTCTCAAAGTACATATTCTCCATTTCCTTTTAGTTATTAAAGGCATAACATTAACAGTAAATAAATAAATTAACAAATAAGTAAATATCCAGAGTAGTTCAAGAGAGCCATTGTATTATTGGGAGAATATATTTCAAAGATATGATCTTTGTTATTCACATGGAAACACACAGAATACTGTATATTACAATATCCACCCAATATGACCTCTACAAACTTTAAGAGAGAAAGAATAGGGACTTGGAAAATGTAAAGCTTTGCTATGCAGAAAAATGCTAATCAAAAGCACCAACAAAAAACAGCTCAAGATTATATAAAAACCTTCCTCTATGGGATACAGAATGTTTTATAAATATTAGTTCAGCAGACAGCATGTAATTCGTTTATGTTTAAATAAATTAGAGTCTGAATTCTTCAAATAATTCATTCACCTTTCCCCTATATATTTTAACTTTTTTTCCCCCTGAAGAACATTTCTGGCATAAATATAAGCAGAGAGAATCCATTACTCTCAGTGTGCCTCTCTCTGGGTCAGCAACTAAGAACTAGTGCATTACCTCACTTCCTTTGTGGTTCAGACTCTGTCCCTACCTGTGAACGTTGATGTTCTCACTCATATCAACTGTAAACATTCCAGGGAAGTTTGTGAAGGGGGACCGAGGATCCAGCCCAATTGCTGATGTGCTCAATGAGAAGCCCTGAGTTCAATTTCCAGCACCACATTTCCAGGAGTTCCAGGATATAGCTTGCCTATAATCTCAGTACTCAGTTGGTGGAAGCAGGAGGATCATGAGTTCAACGTCAGCATTGGTTGTAGACAGAGTACAAGTCCAGCCTGAGTTACTTGAGACACTGCCCCCAAAAACAAATGAAGGTGCTTGAGCTATGGCTTAGCAGTGAAGAATGCTTGCTACACATCCGGGTAACAAGCAGGCATCTTTCTTGAGTCTGAAACCCCAGCTTGAAAGGGTAGAGACAGGAGGATTGCTGGTGCCAGCTGACTCCAGCCTGATGTACCACAGGCTCAGGGAGAGACCCTGCCTCAAAGGAATGGATGGAGGATGAAAGAGAAGGACACACTTGATTCCTTCTCCTGACTCTGCCCTTGTGAACAGTCGTGTGCATCTCTCCCACACTGACAGGAAATACTTAAGTAGTTAATATCAAGTTTTCAGTACTGATACATGTTTCTTAAAACGTGTATGTTTTGGAATTAGAATTCAAACAACACCCATACCCTGTCCCATTTCTTTTCATCTATAGAATTTTTTTTCTACAGAGTTCCCTCTCTTCTCATCCTCTCTCCACAATCTTTTATTGAAGAAATGAACTCCTTCCTAGGCAGTTCTCAGTCTGATCTCTGATTTTATCGTGTTTTGTCCTCATTGTATCTCCTATAAACCCCATATTCAAAATTAGAGACTTCTAGAGAATTTTCTTGGCTTTTATCCACAGTTTTATGGATGATGCTGTGTGAGTTTCTTGGGAATAAAAATTTCTAGCTGTCTACTTCTGTTAGCAGTCATTGGTAATCTTTGTTTAGATCCATTATCTCATCAGGTGCTGAAAAGGTAAATTATTTCTTCAATTATTAGCTGGTTTACTTTCACAAAGAGACATTTCCCTCTCGTCAACTAGTGGTTATGCTGAGGCTGAATTTATATAGGAAAAGTAGGATAAATTCTTGGAGGGTTTTCAAAAAGAGCAAGATCGCAAACATTCTTCAGGTAAGTCTATATGTGTTTATAGATGCATAGATACATAAATAGATATGTATCTATATCTATGTATGTGTAATTGTGTGTGTGTGTGTGTGTGTGTGTGTGTGTGTGTGTATTACTAACTACCTGGTTTAAAGAACTTTGTCCTGTGACAATTTATTGGCATAAAGCCTAGATATTTAACTGGATTCCTTTTGACATGCCAACAGAAATCTTGAATAGCATTCTTATTTTCTTATATGACATGTCATAGTGGTCAATCCTACATTTCTTGCACCTGGCTGTTAGCTCTTCTTAGTAGATAAAAACACCACACACACACACACACACACACACACACACACACGATAAAACACAGTACCAGTTCCAACTAACCTTTCAGTGCCAAACTTAAGAACGTTGAATCCTTTTATTTTTACCTATTCAAGTTCATTTCTATAACTCAGGTATGTCCTGCCTCAAATTCTGATTTTAATAATTCTATTTTAACTACTGTTTTATTTTACTCCATATTGCATATCCCAGTCTCAGAATGGTGTTTCCTCAACTGTCAATGATATTCTTGTTTTCCAAACCGTTATACTGTAAAGTCTCCTGGGATAGGTTCTTGGTGGGGATTAGATCACCAGCAGTGTTATCAAGGAGGTATCCTTTCTTTTAACTTTTTATTGTTTTATAAGAAGATTGTCTATATTTTAATTACTATGTAAAATATGCTTCAGATGGTTGTAGCTTCCAAAGGTGATATTAAGAAATCTCACCTTGTTTCTTATTTCTAAACTTCATAGTTTGTCTTTTTTTTTTTTTTTTTGCTTTTTTAAAATGTAAGCGCACATGCATCACAATCCTCCTGTATCTTTGATATTGCTTTGTGGTAGCCATAGCAGTATGCACGGGGTCTTCTCCTTATTATAGCTACATAATAATACATTATGTGGGGCATCAGATTTCTCTCCTGGGGAACATTTTAAAGACTTGCAGTGCTTTGCTGCAGTAAATGGTGCCCCAGTAAATCTTATTTGCAATCATTTTCATATATTTGTCTAGTATTTAATTTGAAGTAAGTCCCTAAAAGCAGGAAACGTGTCATTTTTTTTTTCTATTTAGACATACATCTCAAAACTCTAATCAGGATTCTAGCCGTAATGGTTACTGATTTTGTTTTGAGTAGAGGGATTTGGGATGGGTTTTTAATTAATATATTTAGGGCCTGTTTGTGTGGCAGAACAGTGAGAAGATACAATGCCCCTAGCGGAATCACATGCCATTTCCACTGACAACACGAATAGTTTCAATTCATCAGAGAAACTAGGCACAGCTCTTAGAAGTAGGCACCATGACTGCATTGGACGTGGGAGGTGTAAAGCCATCACCATGGGTCCAACCATCCCAGGGAGAAAACCACAGGGTTGACTTAGATGTAGATATCACCAGCTCTTTCTGAGCTTGTTTGGTTGGTACCTGCTCTGTGGGCAGAAAGACTTGGCTTCTGATGTGATTAAACATGAATGATTTTAACTACCATTCTGAAAAAGGAGTGATTTGACAGCCTCCCACTGGAGCTGTCACGAGTTCTATATATTTACTATAAGCAAAAGGAGACCCTGCCACCCGAACTTCAAACTCCAGTTTTCATCACAGAGACAATGAGACCTCATCCTGCAACGTGATGAGAGCTCACCACCAGGGGGAGCACATCCAAGCTCAGACAAGCCCATCTCCATAAAGAAAACA